TGGCTCAAAACCAGTCAAGACTTCAATATACACCCTAACTCTGGCCCCAGATTTGGCTCTGGATTTCTGATCACCTGTCTCTGATCCTGGATCTGTTGTCAGACGCTGGTTATTTTTCCTGATCATGCTGTCTGTTTCTGCCATCCTGGTTCTGACCCAGTGCCTGTCTATTGACTATCGATTACCTGCCAGTCCTGAGAGTAAAATCCTCCTAACTGCTCTGATCGGATTCTGGATAAAATTATGTTTGCCAGTGACATCACCTGCCAACAGGAGCATTCACTCTCCCTCCAAGCCTGCTCCAGTACTGTGAGAAGGTTAGTGACCAAAGTTTTAGTGACTATAACACCTCTGAAAGTCTCTTACTGGTCAACTGGTTAACTTGTTGTATCCACTTCCATTGGTTCCCATCCTTGCGGTGGTTGACCATTGACCTGCAGCAGTTTACATATAATAGAGAGCGTTCAGAGCAGCTGTGTCACTGTGTGGTGTGGAGGCTGCAACGCTGCAGCCTAGAAGAAGGTAAGGAGAGTAATGACAGATGCAGAGAAGATGAAAAGAAATTTCATCCCAGAGCTGCGTGTCCCGAGCCGGTAACATCATCAATGACCCTCACACCCCCCCCATGGACTGTCTCCCTGCAGCCCTCTGGGAAAAGGCTTTGAAGCATCCGATGCAGGTCCAGCAGATTCCAAAACAGCTCCTTCCCCACTGCCGTTAGACCGCTGAAACTTATACAAAATTGGGAAAGAAAGTGTTGAATGTTGGAAAATGATAAATCATACACCAGTCATATGTTAACATTTGATCATCACCGTGTTTAAAAAATTATCACTTTAGAAATGGAAATGTCATGAGAGCTGTGCTGAAAAAAATGTTGTTTTGTATTCACTCTGTGAGCACAAAATGGTAATAAAGTCTGTCTAAGTCTAAGCAGTTTACATATCAATAAACTGCTTTACGTTATCTGATCTTGTGAGGCTGAATTCTGAGTCCTGTTTCTGTTTGTTATAAAATATGAAAATAATAGTTACAGAGACTAACCTGACAATAAATAATGAAACTAGATAATAGCCTGGTACAGTATATAAACATGTAAATGCAGTTTTATGCCAACCACATTGTCTTTGTCATTGCAATACCTCTGTGAATTCATCCCTTCTTCATGTCTCCGATTGTGACAGTTTATAACAGCATTAAAGCAAAGAAAACAAATATCTGTGATAGTGTCTGGTTATTTTTTCTGTTTTGTGTGTGTTTAAAAGGGGCTGACAGGAAGATACAGTAGTTGATGTACTAGTGCAATACCCAGTACCATGCTGATTAAAAACACATCAGGTATCGATAAAAACATAGATTTTATTTGAAAATCTACAACTGCTTAACCATAACAACAGTAAATTTACATAAAGCTTCATTGGCATTACAGTTACTGCTAGCATGAGTCTAGTTTCATCAGAAAAAGATGGTACCATCATTATTTGCTTTCCACGATAACAAAACCCAATATGTACAAACATGATTCAAACAACAAACCGATGGAAACTAATTCCTTTTAATTGAAATCAGATTTTTAGCTTGAAAATCCTGCTTTTAAATCAACTTGTTTAACATTTTGTTTGTAATTTATGAGCTGAAACATAAAAATGGTAGATTCACAGAGATATAAAAGACAACTTGGAGAAAAATTGCAAGAAATTCCTACAATATACTGTGAATATAAATGCGACTCCAAAATAACAGGTGGTCATTTTCAAGTCTTTGACAGATGAAATTCAAATCATCTGTCTTCATAATCTTTATCCGTTGCTGGTTTAATTAAAGTTCTTGTGGAAGCAAAACTATCTTCTAATGGACTGGAGTTATTATCTGTTCACAGTATTGAAATACACTAATTCGGTCAATGAGAATATATTTAATTCTAAGGTCACCCTAAATTAGTGGTTCTACAACTTTCTTGTAAACCAAATGTGAGTCCAGCAAGAAGAAAACAGAAACCACTGCCTTAAATAATAATAAAAACATCCAATTTAACTATTTTCTTCTTATTATTATCTTCAGGATAATAATTTAATTTAATGTATTTATACAGGGCCAATTTACAACACATGTCATCTGAAGGCATTTTACAGAGACAATTCATTCAAATTATACAGATAGATTAAATAAAGTATTGACTAATACTAACATTTGAATTCAGTTGAGTTCTTTGTACAGTAGAAGCTAATTCTCCAAAAAAATTGCTTTTGGTAATAAAAAAAAAAGATTATTTTTCTTTCCGTCCATCTGAAGTGAAATAAAAAAAAAATATTGTGGTACATTGACATCTTGCATATGCCAATTATTAATTTTTTCACCCTTTAATTTTGTTTGGTCAAAGAAGGATTCTCAGCTCCAGCTAATTGTCAGTAAAACAGGAACTGATTGTTGGCAGTTTTAATGTGTCAAGTAAAAGATAGCTGTTGAATCAGAAATGTCTATTTTCCTCTACTTATACTTACAAGTATGCATTATTACTGAATAACATGAAGATTGAAATGCACTGTATGTATTTGGATAAGAGTCTGACTGTGGTTGCATTTGTCTAAAATAAGTTAAACTGATTAGACCTATGTTTGAATTATAATGCTAAACACATATTCAAAAAGGTTCATGTACTGATTCATAATTATATTTTTCTGACTGTCTGAATTCAAATCAGACTTAGTTTTCCTGTTGAAGAGGATCATTGAAATGTGATTATTTTGGTAATTTCCCAAATAATGAAATAAAAAGAGAATTTTGGTTTGATATTCTTTAAAGTTTAAATTTTCCTTAGTATTTGGAAGAATTGCCTTTCAATCTAATTGAATTGGATGACAAATTTGGGGTTTATTTTTATTTTATTTATTTATTTTTCTCCCAAGAGGGAATGCCTATTAAACAGATGCGAGAGCATGCAGAAGCCAATTTCTCCTCGTGCCCTCTCTGTTTTAAAGTTGCTGCTGGCATCAATCGTACAAGCTTACTTAAAAAACAATATTTGCCCTATGTCAGATTCTCCACCTATAAGTGAGAATGATGGGGGCTTAGGACGGCCTTATGTAAACATACCACCAGAATGATTGACAATTACGAGGACCACTTAATTTGATGATCCATCTGGAAAAAAAATATCCTCCTCTATACCTTTGACTAGTAAGCTAACTACATGTAGGGCTGCAACTAAAGATTAATTTGCAAATCGATTTAACTGATTTGCAAATTAATCTTATTTTTTTCGATTAATCGATTTGATTAATTAGAGATTTTTTACTAAATTAAACCAGGTGAAACTAAAACTTTTCTACTTCAGGAATTCTGGATAGAGCATGTAGACAGACAATTATTATTATTTTTTTTAATCTTAAATGCAAAATGTTATTATTATATATATTTTTTACAATCTTGGTATAACTTCTGCTCATGGTGTGTATCTGTGTGAGCTAAAGGCATGTTTTAGAGTCTCTATGCTCAGTTAATGATTAATCAATTACTAAATTAGTTGATAATTATTTCAGTAATCGATTAATCACGATAAATTGTTTCAGGCCTAAAGCTAATATCTCCATACTTTGCTTTACATGTTTTATCACACCTTAATGTAGTCGGTTTAAGCTCTCAGACTTGGTGTGTTCTCTTTCTGCTTATATATCATTAATTTTAAGTAGTCAGAGACTCTCTATTGATCAGTGATCTCTTTATTTTGTCCAAAATAATAAAATCAAGACAAACTGATGCAACACAGAGATAAATAAATGACAAATGTAAAACACCTGATGCTTAAGACAACCTAATGATATATTGACAAAGCTAAACAAGCTAAACTCAACACAGAGAATATATATAATTATTCTGGATTTGATTCATGAATTTATGCAGTTTTTTACAGCTGGAAAAAATTATTTAAATTGATATGTTATTTAAATTAACGTTATTTAGTTTCTGGGGCCAGGATAATTATTTCAAGAAGTTAACTTTAAAAGGGAAGTAACCAGATTGGTCGACTCGTACACAATAACTCAATAAATGGACGATCAGACTGGAGTACCTCTGGATGAGAGGCGGGACATCTACACCTAGCTTAGAAAAACAAAGGGCGATCCAAAGCTCTAGCTAGCTGCACCAAGGCCAGAAAACCTCCATGGCTTGTGTCATTGGAGGCAGAAACTGCACTTACTGTACATAGCAGGAAGAGAAACATTACTTAAACAAACCATAATCCGTACCAACAAGAGACAATCTTTTATTTACCTTCACTGGTAAGAAGTGTGAGAGTTTTAATGATTCTGTACACTCCCCTCATTTATTGTTTTAAGAAGAACTCTGCTTTCTACGGAAGCTCAGAGCGGTCATGTCTCTCAGATACTTTTTTCACTGTGGTTTTCTTGAGAAAACAAGTAATTTTTCTAAATCATCTAAAGATAACGAAAGCTGTTTTCTCGTCATAACGAGATGACTGGTGTGTAGGGGTGTGGGAAATAATCGTTTTGGCGATATATCGTGATATTCGGCTGCCCAATACAATATCGATCTTTCACTTCTTAGTATTGATTTTCAAAAAAAAAAATGGTTACATAAAACATTGATGGGAAAAAGGGGTACCTCTGCACCACCACTCTGGCAGAAAGCGCTGTGGAGCCCTTTAACTGAGCGTGCAGCACCATATCTGTATTTGAGGTAGTCACAGTGCAAGAAAACCCCAAACAACATGGATAAAAATACCTAATCAATATTTTCTGATGAAAATATACAGCACTTGCTGTTTTATCTCATCATTTGATTTTGATAGCTGGGGAAAATATGGCAATATATATAGTGATACTGCAATATCGTGATAATATCATATCGTGACCCAAGTATCGCAACATGTATCGAATCACAAAACTCATGCCAATACTCACCTCTACTGGTGTGTGTTTATACTGATTACATCCGTCAATACCACAACAACAGGAGAGGATTTATAAGTCTAAGCCTGTACATCAGAAATGCCAAATAACAAAGATGCCCCTCTTCAGTGGCCCTCATTGTTATTCCAAATCTCTCCTGGAAATGTTAAATATTCAAATAAGTCCAAGATTTTGAGGTGTTGACATAATGAAAGAGATATGTTTAAACATATTTTTTTTCTTAGTGCAGTGCTGCTGACATACGGAGGGCTCAGTTTTATTTCCAAGGATACTGGTGTATTAAGCTAGAGGAATAATAAATAATTTTAAATCGTTCAAATTCAACTCTTAAAGAAAAGCACAGTGGAATGATCTGAAGTTGGAAATGAACACCTGTTTGGAAAGGATGAAGCTCTGAAAAGTGTTTAATTTTTCTGTAATAAGTTATGCCAATGGTTTGGTTGGGTTTAATGTATAATTTAACCCAAATGCTTAATTTTAAACCTGTAGGGATAAAAAGAAAACATGGTACTGTGATTCCATTTTTTAAATTCTCTTTTTGTAAGCTCTGTTTCATAATCACTCTTTTGGGAAGACAATGCTTTAAATGTGTCTTAAAAGCTCCTAAGAACATGTGTAATTGATACGGATGATAAGAAGAGACGACAACTGCTGGGAACATATTTACAGACGTACACCATAAAAAAAAAAACCTTTCTCTAAATTTAATAAAACTGTAAAACAAGGACAACAGTAAAATTAGTCTAAAATTAGTACATCATTCCAGCTCCATTGTTGGGAATGAATTTGCTGATCCAAATCCAGTAGTTAAAGTTTGTGTTTTAAGCTAAAGAATGCAAAAGAAGGTCTGATTAAGCATCTTGGGAAGATGAACAGAAATCACTAAGCATTTAAGCCACTTCACTAACACTATACACAAGAAATGCAAAATATGAAAGTGGGAAATTGATGAGCTGTAAAGATCAAGTGGATGAAGGACAGGGGAGGGAGGTGGAGTTTCCTCTTTTATTCCATTTCTTCTTGCTCTCCATCCAAAGTGTCTGTGTTTGTGTGTGTGAGACATACAGAGGCGATCCTCTCCATCTGCACCTCAACAACCTGTGTGAAGTAAAGTGAGAGGCATTAGCAGCGACTCCTGGCTGTGTCATGTGTTTGCGTTATCAGTTTGTTCATGTACAAAGGAGGACAGAAGAAGGGAGGGGCGTGAAAGGCACAGTGAAAGAGAGCAGGTGTTGGAGTGCTTAATGGCTGATAGTGTGAATGGCCACTGCTGGCCCATCCTGATTAAGGGAATGAACCCCTGCTTTGTCTCCAAACTGAACTGGCAGCAGCACTCAAACACTGTCCATCAGGTTCTTCTTGTGGACGCCTCAACATTTAACGGAGCTATGAAAGATTTCCTTCTTCCCACTGCTATCCGCTTAGAACATTTGAAAGCGATTTAACCCACTGGAAATATGGAGACCATCTGTTGTGTCTGTCTCCATAATTACTTCAACAAAGAACATAGGGAGCAGGTTTCACACAAAACTAATGCTGCATAAAATAAAAGCCTATCTTTCTGTTTCTCCTCATATCAGCAATTTGGATCAGACGGGACTCTTTCCTGTCTGGGGGTAGGCTTTGACAAGCATGATTAACGTTGATCCCAAAATACTTTTCTAAAAACACCTATTATATTGCACAACTGACTTATTACTTATTAGTAATATTTTTGTAGAGCAACAGAAAATAAGACAAACTAGGTAATGTTTAATGCATTGTATTACCATCATACATGCAGTATCCTGCAGTTTAAAGGAGAAGTCAAGGAGAAGTCAAGGAGCAGCTTGTCCCAATTCCTGCTGCTCCTGTTTTTTGTTCTTTTGAATATTCCGCCTCACTGCTGCCTGGACCCTCTCCCACAGTTATCACCACCGTCTACCGTCCTCCTAAATATAATAAGGATTTTTTGACTGACTTTTCTCAGCTCCTCACACATCTCTCAACCCTCTCCCATAATCTGATTATTTTGGGAGATTTCAACATTCACATGGATAATATCAGTGCTTCTCTCTCCAGAGACTTCTCATCCTGCCTGGAAAGCTTCGGTCTACATCAATACATCAACTTCCCAACTCACTGTAAAAATTATATTCTAGATTTAGTCTGTTGTTCTGGCATCACCCCCTCTGACTGTAAATCCCATACCGTTGCTTTTTCCGATCACATGCTCATTACTTTTAACGTTAAGCTCCCCCTGTCTAAAATCACCCTCCCTCGCATCATCTCCTTCCGGAATGTAAAGGACATCAACATTGACGCCTTCACCTCTGACATCAGTAATATCCCCAGTGTATCCGCCTGCTGCCCACCTGATGAACTGGTTTCCCACTACAATCAAAATCTCCATACTCTTCTGGACATCCATGCTCCTCTGAAATCTAAATCAGTCTCCTTCACTCACTCAGCTCCCTGGTTCACTCCTGCTCTCCGTCACCTCAAATCTCGCGGTCGTCAGCTCGAACGCCTTGCCAATAAAACTGGACTCACCATTCACAAAAATATGTACAAGGATCACATTGCACTGTACAAGACTTCCCTCTCTTCTGCCAAATCTGCATATTACTCTAACTTAATCCACTCCAACCGCCACAACTCCAAAACTCTCTTTTCCCTTCTCACTTCCATCACCAAACCTCCCGACTCCCTTCCCTATCATATGCAATCCGATGACTTCTGCAATAAACTTATGTCCTTTTTCGTCTCCAAAATCACAAATATCCATAAACACCTGACCTCATCTGGAGCTGCAGCTTCTGGAGGCGACCCGGCTACCCCCTACCCATCTTTTGCAACCACCCTCTCCAGTTTTGACCTTCCATCTGCTCAAGCCATTTCTGACTTCATTCATAAATCCAAACCTTCCACATGTCAGCTCGATCCTCTCCCGTCCACTCTGGTTAAATCCTGCTGCTCTTCATTTGCTCCTCTCATCACCAAAATCATCCACTCTTCCTTAAGCTCTGGTTCAGTCCCCTCTGCACTCAAAACCGCTACAGTCACCCCAATTCTGAAAAAACCTGGCCTGGACCCCACCGACTTCAATAACTTACGTCCCATATCCAATCTACCCTTCATATCCAAAATTCTGGAAAAATCTGTTGCCTCCCAACTCCACAACCACCTGATGTCCAATAATATTTACGAACACTTTCAATCTGGCTTCCGTCCTCTGCACAGTACTGAAACAGCACTCATCAAGATCTCTGACGACCTCCTTATGGCTTCTGACTCTGGACTACTTTCCATCCTCATTCTCCTGGACCTTACAGCAGCCTTCGACACCATCTCCCATGCCACTCTCCTCAGTCGACTATCATCCATCGGTATCAGCTGCACCCCTCTAACCCGGGTTCACTTCATACCTCTCAGATAGGACACAGTTCATACAACTCAAATCTCATAAATCCATCTACTTCCCTGTTTCTGCTGGTGTGCCCCAAGGTTCTGTCCTGGGGCCCCTCCTGTTTATTATCTACATCCTCCCTCTTGGCTACATCCTCCGTAAGCATCATATCAAATTCAATTCAATTCAATTCAGTTTATTTATATAGCGCCAAATTCACAACACATGTCATCTCAAGGCACTTTACAGTTCAACCAGATCATACAGTCAAATTGATACAAAGTTTTCTATCTAAGGAAAACCAGTTGATTGCATTGACTCATTGACTCAAATACAATCCCCCACACTAAGCATGCTTGTAGCGACAGTGGAGAGGAAAAACTCCCTTTTAACAGGAAGAAACCTCCAGCAGAACCAGGCTCAGTGTGAGCGGCCATCTGCCGAGGCCGACTGGGGTTCAAGGAGACAGAAGCAGAGATACAAAAAGCAGCTGTAAAAGGCGGCCCTGTCCAGGAAACACACAGCCAGGCAGACGAGCTCCAAGGCAGCTCCCATGCCAGAGGACGAAGAGAGCACATCCACTCAGTCATGGTCAGAGAAACAGGACCACACTGGAAAACAGGCCGATCTCCAACATCTATTAACAAGGGTGTTGATAGAAGCAGCACAGCATATGTTTTTTTCCAGGATGACGTCACAGCCAAACAGGAACAGACGAGGCAAAGCTACTCTGAGGAAAAGCAGAGAGAGCAGAAGGTTAGAGATTGAACTAACAGATTCTGCAGAATAGGAGAACAGAGAGAGAATGAAGCAGAATGATGAAATGGGGGTCCCTATGTCCTCCAAAAGTCTAAGCCTATAGCAGCATAACTATAGAGATAGCTCAGGATAACCTGAGCCACCCTAACTATAAGCTTTATCAAAAATGAAAGTTTTAAGCCTAGCCTTAAAAGTAGACAGGGTGTCTGCCTCACGGACTAAAACTGGTAGTTGGTTCCACAGGAGAGGAGCCTGATAACTAAAAGATCTGCCTCCCATTCTACTTTTAGAAATTCTAGGAACCACTAGTAAACCTGCAGATTGAGAGCGAAGTGCTCTGTTAGGAACATAAGGAACAATCAGATCTCTGATATAAGATGGAGCTTGGCCATTTAAGGCTTTATATGTGAGAAGGAGGATTTTAAATTCTATTCTTGATTTAACAGGAAGCCAATGAAGAGAAGCCAGGATAGGAGAGATATGATCTCTCTTTTTCATTTTCATTAGAACTCTGGCTGCAGCATTTTGGATCAGCTGAAGGCTTTTAACTACAGTTTGTGGACTTCCTGATAGTAAAGATTTACAATAGTCCAGCCTTGAAGTAACAAATGCATGGACTAGTTTCTCAGCATCACCCCTGGTCAGGATATTTCTAATTTTTGCAATGTTCCTCAGATGAAAGAAGGAAATTCTAGAAACCTCTTTGATATGGGATTTAAATGACAGGTCCTGATCAAAAATAACACCAAGATTTTTTACTTTATTATCTGAAATCAGTTTAATCCCATCCAAATGAAGTGACTGGCTAATCAGTTTCTTTTTCAGAGACTCTGGTCCAAAGACTATAACTTCTGTTTTGTCTGCATTCAGAAGCAGAAAGTTAAGAGTCATCCAGGTTTTTATGTCTTCAAGACATGCCTGTAATCTATGTAATGGGTTAGCTTCATCTGGATTTATAGACAGATATAGCTGGGTATCATCAGCATAACAGTGGAAATTAATCCCATGCTGTCTAATAATTCTACCAATTGGGAGCATGTATAAAGTAAAGAGAATTGGTCCTAGCACTGATCCCTGTGGTACTCCACAGGTAACCTTTGAGCGTGTTGAAGATCTATCATTAACATGAACAAACTGAATTCGATCAGATAGATAAGATTTAAACCAGTCTAGTGCTGTTCCTTTAATTCCAACAAAATATTCAAGTCTTTCTAAAAGAATATTATGGTCAACTGTATCAAATGCAGCACTAAGATCCAACAGGACGAGCACAGATACAAGTCCATTATCTGAGGCCATGAGAATATCATTAGTGACTTTCACCAGAGCTGTTTCAGTGCTATGATGAGCTCTAAAGCCAGACTGAAACTCTTCAAAAAGTTCATTATGGTGGAAGTGATCGCAGACTTGTTTGGCATCTACTTTCTCAAGAATTTTGGATAAGAAAGGAAGATTGGATATAGGTCTATAATTGACCAAGTCATCTGGGTCAAGAGACGGTTTCTTAAGCAGAGGTTTAATTACAGCAATCTTAAAAGCTTTAGGTACATATCCCTGTAACAGAGATAGATTAATCACATCTAAAATGGAGGAGGAGATCAAAGGGAATACCTCCTTAAATAAGCCGGTGGGGTTGGAACTGGTGAGTCTGACCGGCGAGCGCGAGGGAGTAGAAGGGCAGAAGGGCAGACGACGAATAAGTGGTTGTAGTGTGGCGTAATTGCTGGCGTCGTGATGCGAAGGCTGAGGGGATCAAAGGCGGAGGAGCGTATAAGCGGGGCCGTGTTGTATATGCGCAGGACATAGAGCCATGGACATAGCTCTCATTGTACGAATGCCGTGCTGTGCAGATGGGGCGAGAGGGTACCAGCGGATGCATGTCTCGAGAGTACAGGTCAGTGCATGTCTGGAGTCCTGTACACAACTACTTGAGAGAATCACTTATCAGATA